TATCATCAAGGATGTTTCTGTACATACATCTTTCCCTCAGCCCTCACTGCTGTCTGAGTTCCTGCTCCCCAAAAACATCCCCACAGCACGATGCTGCCACCACCATGCTTCACTGTAGGGATGGTATTGGCCAGGTGATGTGTGGTGCCTTGTGTCCTCGAGATGTGATGTTTGGCATTCAAGCCAAAGAGTTCAATTTTTGTTTCATCACACCAGAAAATTTTGTTTCTTATTGTCTGAGAGTCCTTCAGGTGCCTTTTGGCAAACTCCAGGTGGGGTGTCATGTGCTTTTTGCTGAGGAGTGGCTTCTGCCCACTCTACCACACAGGCCTGATTGGCCGAGTGCTGCAGAAACAGTTGTCCTGCTGGAAGGTTCTCCTCTCCACCAGACAATGTTGGAGCTGTCAGAGTGACCATCATGTACTCGGTCACCCTTCTATCATGTTTGTTCAGTATGGTCCAAATGATTCCTAACATTTTCACAGATGATGGAGGTCAGTCACTGTATTTGTTGGGAACTTTACAATACTGCATATATTTTTCTGCGCCTTTCCCCAGATCTGTGCCTTGATACAATGCTAGCTTGGAAATCTGCAGCCCATTCCTTGGATTTTATGGCTTGGTTTGGGCTCTGACATGCACTGTCAGCTAAGGGACTTATATAGACAGCTGTGTGACTTTCCAAACCATCTCCAATAAACTGAATTCATCACAGGTGGATTTCAGTCAAATTGTAAAAACATCTGTCAAGTGATCATTGGAAACAGGATGCACCTGAGCTCAATTTTGAGTGTCATGGTAAAAGCTGTGACTTATGTACATCTTATATTTTTGTTTTTTAATAAATGTAAAGTCATTTATTGCTTATTGATCTATTGTGCATAATCAAATGTCAATTATTGTCAAATATTTCACTATTTTGGGGACAGCATGTCTTTTAAAAGGTGCTGAGGGACTGAAAAATATGTTTATGACTTACTGTAACACATTTGTCCACTGTGCCAGAGCTCCAGATTGCTGCTTATTGACACGACAAAATGTTAGATCATCACAACGTCTGCTGCTGTCCTACATTTTTGTTATTAAATATTTGATTTTCCTATGTTGGGCTCAGGTGGCTCTTACCAGTAGCTTTACCATCTGATCTTTTGGCCCTTTATGAGCTCACAACTACAATCTCCTGACTGAGCACGTCTGGTTTTGTCTAAATCTAGGATCAAGACCAGATCTATCTATCTATCTATCTATCTATCTATCTATCTATCTATCTATCTATCTATCTATCTATCTGAGAGAGAAAGATTTTTAAGAGAATTTAAAAATTGTCATTATAATTAAATTGTCATTAATCAGTAGT